TTTGTTTTAATACCTTTTTAGCTACATGGAGGGAGGGGTTGTAGTGCGCTCAAACAAAGGTGCCTGCAGAGGTGAACAGTATCATCTCTTCCTGGATCTGGAGTTCTATGCATTTTTTATGTGTGCAACGTACACATAAAAGGAACTAAACAGGTCCTCTGTAAGAGCAGTAAATCCTTCTGGGCCAATGGGCCCTCTCTCCAGCCCCCGTGTCTTCTCATTTATGAAGACTCTAGTCACAGGAGTAGAAGCTACCTAATCTTATATGACATCACTTACGTTTGATTGCATTCGCAAAGACCATTTTCTCAAATAAGGTCACATTCACAGAGCCTGGGATGAAAGCTCCAAGATGGCCAATCCATAATAGTCACTGAACCAAAGGACTACATCTCTCAGTAAACTGTTTCCATCACAATTTTAAATCTCTGATGCCTGGTTCTTCACAAATATTTTCATTACTTTGATCTTTTAAAAATTTTTGGAACAATGGTATTTTTCTTAATAAAGTTCTTTTATTGGGTAAAATTTTACAGTATTTAAAATCTGCCTAGAGTGGTTAAATGTTATATATATTTGCCTTCCTTATTAATAAATGCTTATTAGAGATTTATGGGATGGGTGGATGCATCAATATTAATATGTACTGACATAATTTAATCTTCCTTGATTATTCCAAACATTCCTTCACGTAAAAATGCAGTAACATATTAGTTAAAAGATTACCCCCTGCTTGACTAGCTGAAATGCTAATGACTGGATACTTATTCCACTATCTTTGTGTCCATTTAGATAGTCACTGTAGGAAGTGGGTTTTGTGTCTTGGGTTACAGTGTTCCTACCCCTCATTTCTGTCGGTTTCTCATTGAGTTATTACATATGACTTCACTTATGTAAATTAAATCACTTTTGTCAATCAACTAATACTAATGAATTTTGATTGGTTTCTCTACCTTAAAAAAAATGCCTGTTTTATCACATGCCAGAATTTTCTGTTCTTCAATCTAATTATATGTGTGTGTGTGCGTGTGTGTGCATGCGGGTGTGTGTGCGTGTGTGTTACAGACATCCCATAAATGCATTTTGACTGTGGTGCTGTTAATTGAGCTACATTTCTTCGCTATAGGTCATTCCATTTTCTCTTTAATGTTATATGGAAATAAGCAGGGGAAGAAGAAACACATTTCAAAGTAATCCACTCTTTGCAGACGATTCCCACAGTCTTAAAGCTGTACATTATCTCTGCTTGACTTCAGCATGCTTTCAAAGCACTGGGTGTGCAATTAAGAGAAAGTTCCACTGGGGGAAACCACTGAAGGCAAAAACAAAGATAGAAACAGTGCAGTTCAAATTGAAAATGTTCTTAGCGACTTCTTATCAAGCTGCTAAGATTTCTCACTTTATAGGTCTTTTCTTGACAGATAGTCAAGCATTTACTATCGACTCTATCATTACATCAAAAACGTCGTCTGAAAATATGATTTGTCATGGCAAAATATTTCGACTAATGAAAGAGATTTCTTTTCTTTATGGAAAACGGAAGAAACGTATCACTTGTGGGAGAAACATTTTTTCACCTTGTAGTCAGGCTTCCATCCCTGGTTTTCTCTGAAGATGACATTTATAGGAAACCAACAGATATTCCCAGCTGTTAGTAAACCAGGGTAAAGAAGACACTGAATGTCTGAGCATATCAAGGAGAGACCCCATTTTGTCAACCATTTTCTGGGCTATTCATGTTTAATTACATTAGTGGCACTTGACATTATAAAATGTTCCTTTATTTTAAATATAACCATTTATCATCAATACTAAATGTTAAATGCAATGAAGTGTTTTTCTGAATTACTCCTCATGATAGAAGATTAAAGAAAAATGGTAGTAAGTTCGTAATTCTGAAATTATTTTCAATACCAAAGCCAGCATGGATACAGCTTAATGTGAAATTTTTAAACTAAGTTTTATGTTTATATTGTTTATTATATTTATATTGCATATTTATCCTCATATTGGGAGGAAGTTTCCTATTTTTGCTTCTTACTACATTTGCCTTTTTTGGTAAAAATTTCTTGCTCTCTCTGAGCTCTTTGGGGACAAATATTTCCACCAATAACTGTGTTTCTGGTTTCAGTCAGAATGAGGAGAGAGATCTGGCCCCTTGCTGTGACTTAAGTTCTATTTAAAAGCTTCTCTTCTTCTTCTTCTTTTTCTTCTTCTTCTTCTTCTTCTTCTTCTTCTTCTTCTTCTTCTTCTT